TTGCCTAGGGGTTGCGATCACTGTGGGATGGGGCTGCGATCTGCGCAATTGTCGCCACTTTTGTGGCCTCCTGGGATGCCCGGCGGAGGTACGTCATACGCAGACCACCACTGTAGCTCGCGGTGCCCTGGGTGGCTGCGATATGCGAAACTGTCGGATCTGCGAAAGTGTCGGCACTTTCGTGGGCTGCTGGGAGGCCCGGCGGAGGTACGTCCTACGCAGATCACCACTATAGCTCGCGGTCCCCAGAGGGGGTTGCGATCTGCGAAACTGTCGACACTTTCGTGGGCTCCTGGGAGGCCCAGCGGAGGTACGTCACACGCAGACCACCACTGTAGTTCGCGGTGCCCTGGGGGGCTGCGATCTGCGCAACTGTCGCCACTTTCGTGGGCTCTTGGGAGGCCCAGCGGAGGTACGACATACGCAGATCACCACTGTAGCTCGCGGTGCCCTGGGGGGCTGCGATCTGAGAAACTGTCGGCACTTTCGTGGGCTCCCGGGAGGCCCAGCGGAGGCACGTCATACGCAGATCACCGCTATTGCTCGCGGTGCCCTGGGTGGCTGCGATCTGCGACACTGTCGGCACTTTCGTGGGCTCCTGGGAGGCCCAACGGGTGTACATCATACGCAAATCACCACTATAGCTCGCGGTTCCCTGGGTGTCTGCGAAACTAAACGGCCCAAGAGAGACTCCTTTTTCTACCGCGCCCTCCTGCGTACATCTGCGTGCTCCTGCTTATTCTCGCGACCGCGATCTTTTGATTTCACTTTTGGGTGTTTCTCTTTGGGTTCGCTGCCGCGCCGTTCTGTCTCCACTTTGGGATGAATCTCCACCCCCGTAGTGCACCTCATGCATTTGCCCCGCTCAGCGCAGCGCGCTGCTGAGTTAAATTCATGTTATGTTTTAGCCCTCGCCGCCGCGCCCTTTCATGTTCAGTTTTTGGGCGCGTTTTTTTTTTCAACGCCCCTTGTGTCCGTTTTGTATGCTTGCCGCTGCTCTTCTTGCTGCGCTCTTCTGAAATCGGTGCTGGGTGCTCTTCTTGCGCGCTGCGAGTCCTTCAGACTGCATGTCAGCATTGAGTGGTCTTGAATATACCCGCCACATGAATAGAAAGGGCTGGGTACGTCGAAGGGTAATCTTTTTCATCTGAGCGGGTCATCCTCGAGCCTGTATCTGTCGTCGCTGTTGAGCTCCTGAGGCCTGAATATGGGCGAAGTATCAGGCGGGAGGCTCGTCTGTGAGTGACTTGCGAGGAAGTCTCAGGCGGGAGCCCTCTCCCTATGGGACTGCATTTCACGTTTCTGATCCGAGCGGGGCATCCTCGAACCTGTAATTCTCGTCACTTTTGGGCTCCTGAGGCCTGAATATGGGGGAAGTATCAGGCGGGAGCTTCGTCTGTGAGTGAACTGTCAGGAAGGCTCAGGCGGGAGCCCCCTCCATATGGGGCCCGCACCTCTCGTGTTTACTCCGGATCGTCCTCCGGCGCGCGCTTCCTTTGGGTCGTCCTCCGGCGCGTATCCGCCGGGACGCACGTCGTGCGCTTCCTCTGGGTCGTGTTCCGCACGAGGAGGAGGAGGAGGAGGAGGAGGAGGAGGAGGAGGAGCAGGAGGAGGAGGAGGAGGAGGAGGAGGAGGAGGAGGAGGAGGAAGGAGGAGGAAGGAGGATGCAGGACGAGAAAGAGAAGCAGGAGGAGGAGGAGGAGGAGGAGGAGGAGGAAGCAGAGGGCGAGAAGGACGAGGAGGACACGGAGGAAGAGGAGTGCCCTTGGAGGCCCCAGGATATCCCGGGAGGCCCACAAGGCTCCAGGAGGCCGCAAGAGCCCCCAGGAGGAGGCAGGAAGCCTGAGGAGGAGGCAGGAGGAGGAGGCGGAGGAGGTGGGGGGGGAAGATGGAGACGAGGAGAAGGAGGCGGAGGAGGGAGAGGGAGAAGAGGAAGATGGAGAAAGGAGGCGGAGGAGGAGGAGGAGGAGGAGGAGGAGGACGCAGGAAAATCATGGGGAATGGGGGGAGGAGGCATAACGAGGAGGAGGAGGACGAGGTGGTGGAGGCAAGAGGAGGAGGAGGCAGGGGTTGAGGCAGGAGGAGGAGGCAGGAGGAAAAGGAGGAGGCAGGATTAGGTGGGAGAAGCGAGGGGGCAGGAGGAGATCCCCAGGCAAGCTAAACAGATTCTCATGTGGGGTCCTACCGTCGGAGTAACTATACAGAGGTAAGGGGTAGACGAGAGGACCAAAAGGATAGGGATATATACAACATATGGATACGAATAGGGATATAGGGCAGCAGTGGAAAAGCCACTGGAGGCCACGCCGCCCCACCGATTCTGGATCTGGCGACCCACCTACTGTTTTCTGATAAACCTTACATATGCACACAACCGTATATAGACACATGTATCTGTACATACACACGCATCCAACCAACCAAAAAGCCATGTATCCGGCAGAACGCGTGGGCGGAAGAGTGCACGACTGGCAACTCCTCGGATAAAAGAATGTAATGCACACGTGTGTGTGTATATATATATGCACTCAACAACACTGTTTGCACTCAAGGGTACCTACTTCTGTGCTCAGGAACTGGGCCGAATCTTCGGTCTGGCGGTTGTGGCCGCCGTCGCCGCCCCGTCGCCGCCTCGTCGTCGCCCGTCGTCTGGGCCGTGTCTATGGTCTGGCGGCTAGATGTGGCCGCCGTCACAGCCCCGTCGCCGCCTCGTCGCCGCCCTGGATTGCACAATGCAGCTTGCACCGCATATATTGCACTAAAGAATCCGCACCATGTAGATTGCATAGATTGCGCCACATGGATTACACAACATAGGTTGCACCACATCGAGTGCACATCATCTACTGCACTACATCGCTTGCACCACATATATTGCACCGCGTGGTGCACAACATATATTCTCCTTTCTAAAAAGACAATAGACTCTACCCCCCTCCCGGCGTTATCCTTCCCCTTTCGGGTATGTAAATCATATATGATTATGACCACCTGTCCATCCGAAATATGAATTTACACTATGCGTGAGGGGCCGGGAGCGGCCCCCCTGAGGTTCCCTTGTAAAAAAACGAAACGCGGGACATCTTTTGTTCTAACATAGAATTTGTTCACGAATCCGTTGCAAAAAACGGGACGAAGTGCACACGCGCGCGTCGTCGCGCGCGCATGCCGGAATCCTTCAAACACCTTCGGTGTCGGAAGGATTTCGCAATCGAGCTTCCCCAAAAAAACATACAAAAACCAGGTTTCGCAACACTGATTTGCTAAAAAAGCTTACGCGCGAGCTCTTGCGAAATCTTAAGAAAACCATAGGTTTTTCAAGATTTTCACAAAATGCTACCAAACGGGCTTCGCGCGCGCGCGCATGTCGAAATCTGTCAAACACCCTTGCACATGTGCCGTCGCGACAATCCTCTGCAAAAAACGGGACGAAGTGCAGACGCGCGCGTCGTCGCGCGCGTATGCCGAAATCCTTCAAAACCCATCGGTTTCGGAAGGACTTCAAACTCGTGTGTCCAAAATACTTACAAAAACCACAAAGTTTCGCAACACGGATTTTCAACACAAGCGTGCGCGCGCGCTCTTGCGTCGTCGTCGTCGTCGTCGCCGTCCTCCCTCCTCCCGCGTCGTCGTCGTCGTCGTCGCCTACGTCATCCTCTGTCTTTCCTCGTGTTCGTCGTCGTCGTCCTCTTTGGCTTCGTGGTCGTTTCCGTCGTCGTTGTCGCCGTGGTCGTCCTTCCTCCTCCTCCCTCGTCGTCGTCGTCGTCCGTCGTCAGCGTCTCGTCGTCGTCCCTCCTATTTCGTCGCCGTCGCCGTCGTCGTCGTCGTCGTTGTCGTCGTCTTCCCTCCTCCCTCGTCGTTGTCGTCGTCGGCGTCGCCGTCCTTCCTCCTTCTTCGTCGTTCGCGTCGTCGCCGTCCTCCCTCCTCCAACGTCGGTGTCGTCGTTGTCGTCGTTGTCGCCGTCGTCGTCCTCCCTCCTCCCTCGCCCTCGTCTTCGTTGGCGACGTCGTCGTCGTCGTCGTCGTCGTCGTCGGCGTCGGCGCCGTCTTCGTCGTCGTCGACGTCGGCGTCGTCGTCCTCGCCGTCGTCGTCGTCGTCGTCGTCGGCGTCGTCCACGTCGTCGTCGTCGGCGTCGTCGTCGTCGGCGTCGTCATCGTCGTCGGCGTCGTCGTCGTCGTCGTCGGTGTCGTCGTCGTCGTCGTCATCGTCGTTGTCGTCGTCGTTGAAGTCGTCGGAGACGTCGTCGGTGTCGTCGTAGTCGTCGTCGTCGGCGTCGTCGTCGTCGTCGTCGACGTCGCTGTCGTCGTCGGCGTCGGTGTCGCTGCCAAGTGCCATGTGGTACCTACCGTCACGGTCTTAAGAGGTTTTGCAACCCAAGTTGTGGGTGGGTGGGTGGGATGTTTGCAAGAGCATGGGATGTGTCAAATCATGGGTAAAAATCAGTTGCACCACATAGATTATACCACTCCGACTGCACCCCATAAGGTGCACCACAAATGATGCACCGCATAGAGTGTACGGCATAGGTTGCACAGCATATATTGCACCACGTAGAGTGCACAACATAGATTGCACCACATAAGTTGCACTACGTGGAGTGCACCATCTATATATATAGTGTCACAAAAACTGCACCACTTAGACTGAACCACATGGCTTGCACACCAGATACTCAACCGAATCGTTTGCACCACGCGAATTGCTCAACGTGAGTTGCACCACATAGAGTGCACAACATATACTGTATCACATAGAGTGCCCACATAGATTGCACACTCTACATTGGAACATGTAGATTGCAATGCGAAGAATGCACAGCATCGATTGCTAGAAACACACTGTTTGGTGGAAACGCTGGCTAACATCTGTAAGTGTATAAAGCGTACAGACAAGCTGGTTCAAAACAAAACCACCTATGATGACATATCAAATTTCAGAAGGCACTGGCTATTTCTTTCCTGGTCCGTGGCGGCTGTTTGGGTGTCTCCCGTCGCCCGCTCCTGGGAACCGTCGATGCCTACGACCAAGACCACCACATCTGCGGCCTGCGCTGCTTCCACGGCGGCCGAGATGTTGTTCGGGCCCCCCGCGACTCCCACTCCAACCACGCCGACAGTCTGGCCCCCGGCGTTAGCCTTACTGATCGCCTGGATCGGGGACGTAATGCACTCGTACCTGTTCGAGGCGCACCGCTGGCCGTGGTAGTTGCTCAGCATCACCTCCTTAGAGAAACAAGTAACTTCACAAACATAATTTCTTGGAGGTCCAGGCGGATATCTTGGATCGGCGTTGGACCCCCTCCCTGGCGCGCGGAGCGCGCAAGGGACGGCGCTAGAGACGCCGCCAGGTGGGCCCAGCGCCGATCCAAGAAATCCGCGCGGAGCTCAGAGAACTCATGCTAATGCAATTTTTTCCTCTTCGACTCCTGGCCCTCTGTGTGGGGGCCCACCACCGCCAACTTGAGCCCCCGCTTGAGGGGCAGGGTGCCGGCGTCGTTCTTGAGCAGCACGATGGACTGCAGGGCGGCCTCGAGCGCGAGCTGCCGGTGCTCGGGGCTATCGATCCTGTCGATGCCGTACTTGGATTTGCGAAGAAGAAAAGCTGCACATGCGCGCCGGCCGGATGTCTCGACGTCGGCGCTGTTCACACAGGCGAGAGCGGGTAACGCGCGGGTTCGGGGCCCCTACCAGGCCCCAGATCTGGCCGAGAGCGGCGCGTTCCCCCGGAACGCCGACCACGGCAGACCCAGCTTGAGCTAAGTCAGCTGGTATTTCGGCCATCGCCCACATGAACTTGCGGAGGTCCAGGCGAATAGCTTGGATCAGCGCTGGGCCCCCCCTGGCTGGCGCGCGGAGCGCGCAAGGGACGGCGCCAGAAGCGCCGCAACGGGGGGCCCAGCGCAGACCCGAGAAATCCGCGCGGAGCTCCGAAAGGCCATGTGAATGCAGCTTTTTGTTCTTCGAGATTTGTCGAAGTACATCTGGGTCTCTTTTGGCTCGAAGAGGCCGAGGCGCATCTGTATCTTTACCAGGCGGCGGAGCGCTAGGTCCACGGTCTCCTCACTGAGTATGCTCCTGGAGGCGAAGAGACCTAGCCCAATAGGGGCTAGGGGCCAACGACAACAACCCTTAGGCAACCCCGTAGACAATCCTGGTAAGGCTTCGGGTTGCGCAACGACAGCGCCCCCGCTTAGTCCGGGGCGGTCTCAACCCGCCTCTGGCTGCGCCCCTGGGGCGCTGTGCGCGCTAGGATTGGGGTGTTGAGACCTCCCTGGACTACTCACTCGGGGTTCCTGTTGAGGTCAGCCGGGGCTACCTGCGGGGGCCTGTGTGCGCAACCCGAAACCTCACCAAGACAATCCCCTGGACTCTCCCCCTGGACCTCGCCCCCGGAGAATCTTCGTTCCAACTTCAACTGTATCCGAGACAGTGCCCCGACAAGCCTGTCTGTGGACATAGCAAATCTTGATAGAGGAAAGGATAACAATGAACATAACCAAGACTGCACGCGGAAACGTCCGCGTCGATCTTGGTCATCACCCATCTTGGTCATTTTCAATCCGTGGGTTATCCTCGCGAACCGGCTACAGCAGGTATGGACCATGACCAAGATTTGCGGCGACAAGATCCTGCGATATCTTGGTCATGGTCAGCGTGCTTATCCGCTCGACTAAAGGGGGCGTTCTCCCTCGCCTCTCTACCCTGGGGTCATCAAAAGGGGATCTAACCCTGGACCCCTTCCCCGGCTGCCCCGCGATTGCCGGCCCGCCGCTCCTGTTCACAGCCTCCACCGTGTGGCCGCCGTACACCTTACAGGCGAGGGGTCCCAGAACGACAAGTATCCGTCCCCCGTGCCCTCGGCATGCTAGGACGTGTCAGGATTCTCGTTGGCTGCTGTGGCTTTGGAAATTCTGTGCCAGGAAGCTGGGAGCACACGCGCGGCTGCATCCACATCTGGGACATCTGGAAGCCACGCGCTGGAGACACGTGCGGAAGCCCAGCATGCAAGGGGCCACAGAAAGGCCCAGCGCTGTAATGCCATCAGGCCGCATGTGTATCCAACTCTCGCACAGGCTGGCCGCATCATGTGGCCAACCCCACAGACCCTGAACGCCCAAACACTGTCATCTCTTAATAACTATTTTTTACCTCCGCTGGCTTCCGCTGGCGGACCCGCCACCGTTTCACTTCCACCCGCTTCCGCCAACCTTCCGCTGCTTTTCGCAAAAGGAGGACATGTCAACTGATCGATCCCTCCATGGCAAAGCCGTGTCTGGGCTCCCCGTGTACATCCTGCCTCCCGGTAATTTTCAAGGGGCGCCCCTCAGGGAAAGCGCACCCAAGGGATCGCCCCCCTCGGGTCGGCCCAATACCACCCCGAGAGAGTTCCAGGGTGGCCTCGAGACCCGACCAGACGGCCGCGACAGCAGCCTAACAACAGCCGAAAGCCCTCCAAGGTTCCCCCAAGAGGCCCCAGGAAACTCAATCGGGCGTTCCTGGCGAGATTCTTGGAAAGAGCGCTGGCGACGTGATGCGCAACGCAAGCGAGCGGGCACGCTTGGAGCGAATTCCCTGCCCGGCATATTGGCAACAACGCTGGCAAGGCGATGGCGGCCGGACGAGAGCGGGCTCTCTTGGAATGAGCTTCCAAACTAACTTCTTGGCAGACCCGCTGTGGGCCACAAGCGAGCGGGCACGCTTGTAACACGCATCCTGGCGTGCCTCCTGGCAGCAACGCGGGCAACGGGATGGCTGCGAGGAGCGATCCGGCACGCTTGGTTTGAACTTCCTGGCAAGCTTCTTGGCAACAAGTTAACACTGGCAGCCCGATTCGGGCCGCAAGTCGAGCGGGCAAGCTCGGAATGAGCTCCCAAACGCGAGCGCTGCCAACCCGATGGCTGGCCGGATGAGGGCGGGTGCGCTGTGCGCTGCATGCGAGAGGGGGCGCACGGGAAGCGACGCGGCAACGACACAATAACCGACCGAACCGAACCAACACAACGCAACCGACCGCGACGCAACCGAACCGACCGAACCGCGAACATCCTTGCTATATACCGAACCACCCGCCTCCGAGTAGGCTCCCAAGGAGCATCCAAGAAGTCCGTCCCCCAAAGAGCCAAGAACGACGCCGCAGGACAGTCTTGCCAAAAGCTTTTGGGGAGAGCTCGGCGGAACCATCCTGCATATGTACGCCGGTGCTGCGTTGGCATGGTGGCGGGCTTTTTGCGGCAGGCAGTTCGATATCGACTACGGTGAGGGCGTTGGATAAGGAGCCTTTGGATAATCGGCGGTGCGCCCGAGGGGGAAGTGAGAATGGGGAGCAGGTCCTCTTAGAAGGCGGCGGGCTCAGAAGCCCTCCAGACTTCTGAATAGTTTTCTATGTCTTCTGCTGGGCTCAGCGCCTGTAGCCTGGGCCTCAGCCCCTGGGTGTGGTCGTGATGCCGCTCCGCGCCCACTGCCAGGACGCCTCAGCACAGGCTGGCCGCTCCGGCCTCTCCTGCCGAACCTCTTTCCGCAGTGAAGGTGCCCTTCCTCTGCCTGCTTTCCGCAGCTTCATTAGCTATTTCTTTTTCCCCCCTCGTGCAGCCGGGCAATTCGTATGCCACGCGCCCCGGGCTACTAGAACGCGCGTGCGGACAGCCTCTGCCGCGCTGCGACGAAAAAAGTGTTTTCGGGGAAGGCTCCGAAACCTGTTTTCAAGGCCCGAGGCCTGGCGAGCCTTCTGAGAAGGCCCGCCCATACTCACTTCCTCCCCGGGCTCGCCGCCGAGATAAGGAATCCATGGTCTGGAAGCTCCAATCGTGGGTTGGCCATGGGTGTCACCGCCGCCCTCATCAAACGAGGAACCCTCCAGGGTCTGAAGCATCATGGACACGGTCCTGAACCAACGCCTCCACCGTGGCAGTCGGACCTCAAGAGCCGCTTTGAGGCAGAATCCACCGAGGCCTGGGGCATGATTTCGGGGAGCAAGCGCAGCATCGATGACACGCCGCCGTGGGGAACCCACGAGAGTGCTCCTGTTGAAAAAACGCCAGGCCTTCCGACGAAGACGGAGGAATCGCACGCTGATGGGCTACCAACGGCAGCGTGTCATTGCTACTTCTTCTCCGTCCCGAGACATGGGGAATAACTCTCGACGGCAACCTCAAGCAGCCCAGAACGGATCGTCCCCTTCACCATGTCTCCCTCGTCCGAACCTTCCCGCAGTCCGTGTCGCAGCCTGCCCTCAAACCCATGGCGGCAGCTGTGGCGCCATCGGGAGCGAAATGGTGGTTTTTGTTGATATCGTCGATGGCACCGCAATCGGACGTCACCTTAGTTGATCGTGCAACCGCTCAAGACGTATGTAAGATTTGACATTGGGCTTCCATGGACTTGGACACGCGTTGAAACGATCTGCTCGGCTTCGAATGTAAGGATAGCTCCCGTCTGCACAATGATCTCTGGCCCATCGCGCTGCCGCCGCCTGCTCCCAACAGTCTTTGCGGCGCGGCGACTGAGAGGGAGAAAAAGAACGAGAAACAAACAGACGAAGGCGAACGCGCAGGCGGGAAGGAACCGGGGGGAGGCAGCAAGGAGGGATCAATGGGGGGAGAAGGCGAGCGAGAGGAGGAAGAAAGACGGGAGACGAGGCGGAGGGAGAGAGGAACCACCGCAAGGAGACGGGCTGGAACAAGGGCCACACGCGACGAAGCTACGTACACTACGTGCTTGCCTACAGAAATAATTCCGCATGCTGCAAGTAAGCATGGCCGCCCTACCTTCTCTACTTACAGCATCCACGCGTCTTTGGTGGCTTCCGCATGCACGCGTATACGTATCATCTTCTTGTTCGTGTGTGTCTTCTCGTTCTCTTCTCCTCTCCTTTTAGAACTCGTCCTGCCCTTCAGTAGGACATCGAGTTCGCCTCCCAGTGCCAGAGTATGGGATATCCATAACATATGAAATATTAAGCATTAACGGTGCTGGTAAGTATATCGACTATATGAAACCTTGGCAACCTCACGGGAAAATGATGGAACACATGTAGTAGATCGGCCCAATACAAGTTCCTCGAATTTTACCACGACGATCACCAGATCACCAACCGAAGTCGACGGAAGTAGAACGAGGCGGAAGACGGCAGAAGGCTTGCAGAGTACAGCGGAAATAGATGACGTCCTTTCCGAATCACCGACCCCCGTAGAAACCTAGCAATGTAGCCTTCTGCCGTGGGCTAGGTGGGATCGTGCCTAAATGATCGTATAAATGTATTCATTCAGCCTGGTCAAAATCCCAGGTCGTTCATGGATCCCGTCGTGCCGGGATCGGCTCGGTGTGCACTAACGTACATAAGTTTAACGCCTCCTGCTTCGACGGGGCCGCCTTGAAGCCATCTTCAGACGATGCGGGGTCATCTAAGGGTCATCTCAGGGTCTCCTGGAGGTCATCGTCGGTGGTCTGAGGTCCCAATAATACCAGTCTGGGGCTAAGGCCTCACACGGTCACTGCGCGTACTTGCATATACTTCTCTGTGAGAATACTTTCGCTGCGGAGGGGGTAGACTCCGTGTACCCCCTCCGCACTAGCGAATCAACTTTTCATTCAGCCACGAAGGGTGCACAAGAGTGGCGTACTTTTTCTAACTGCCCCACTCTCCTGCGACGGATGATTTTCTCATCTCCATCACCCTTAAGGCTTTGTTGCTGATTGCTACCGATGTTCCTTAGCTCCCGAGAAGGGCCCATCCTGTCCCAGTGCGAGATGACAGACTGCGAAGCAGGATGAGTGAAGGAAACGCACCAAGCACACTGTGCTGGCATGTAGGGGTTAGAAGGCCGTCTTCTCCCCAAGGGAAGATGATGGTGGTGAAAACATTCCAATACTCCGCCACCGTGCCTTCAGGATGTAGTGGGGTGATCAAAGGCTCATTCATTGTTGGGATTACGAAGAATTCACAATCCTTGAAGATCCAGGCCACAAATTTCTCAGCATCGCCAGGCGCTCACACCCGCTCCCGGAGCGTGGCTGGTGTGTCGCCGGGACGTTGAACTCTCCCACCACACCCCCACGAACTGCCGAGGGCCTCTTGAGAAACGCCCAAGCCCAAGACGGTCCTAGAGAGCGCCGAGGCGGTCCATGAGGTCCCAACGGCAGCCCACGACGGACTCAAGACGGTCCAAGAGGCCCCGCCCAAGAGGGCCCCAAGCGGCCCAAATCTGGAATTTCCCATACCCGCTTGAAGAATTTTAGAACTGTCGCCTTTTCGGGCTTCCGACGCTCGAAGACGGCCCAAGAGGCTTCAAAAATCGCCCCACTACGGCCCAATGTGTATCAAATACGGCCCGAAGACGGGCCAAGAGGGTCCCAAGAGTGCCGAGTACCTAAGCGGCCCCCAAGACGGTCCAAGACAGTTCGCAGACGGCCCCAAGAGGGGGAACACGAATTTATATTTCGTCAGCAGGCCCCCAAGAGGCCCCCAGGAGGCCCCCAAGAACCCCAGCCAGATGCCCCCAAGAAGCCCCAAGAGGCCCGCAAGATCCCTCGAAGACGCCCTGGGAGAGACATCCACAACCCAAATACGGTGGCGGGATGGCCCGAACACCATGATCCGCCGCCCCCTGCTTGCAGGGGTGCACGGCGTGCTGGATGAGCTGTCAGGTTTTGGTTTTGGTTCTTTTTCCAAAAGAACTCCCCAGTGGGCTCCGGCAGAACCCGCCGGCCACCCAGAAAATCCCCAAACGTGCTCAACGACCGGAAAAAATCCTCCAAAAACGGCCGTTTCGCTCGGGACATCCTCAAAAAATCGCGAAGATGGCCCAAGATGGCCTCCAAGTCCGCCCGAGATGGTCCAAGACGGCCTCCAAAACGGCCCAAGAGAGTCCAAGACGGCCCAAGACGGCCCAAGAGGCCCCCCAGAGGCCTCCCAGACGGCCCAAGAGGCCTCCAAGAGGTCCTCCAGGAGAGTCCGAAGAGGCCAAAATCATTGATTTTCCCTTGGTTTTTGAAGGATTTTGGCATTTGCGCCTTTTCGGCTCTCCGACGGCTCAAGACGGCCCAAGAAGCCCCCAAGATCGCCCAAGAGGCCCCCAAGAGAGCCCCCTGATGGCCCAAGTGGCCTCCAAGATGGCCCCTAGAGGGCCCCAAGACGGCCCAAGAGGCCTCCAACACGCCCAAGATGGCCTCCAAGACGCCCAAGATGGCCTCCAAGACGGCCCTGGAGCGCCCCAAGAGGGTCCCCCGTTGGCCCAGAAAAGGCCCCCCCAAACGGCTCCCGACGGCGTCAGACGTGCCAGGAACCCACCAAGATGGCCGAAGTTGGCTCGAAGCTGGCCCAAAAGGGCCCGAGAGGCCCCCAAGAGGGCCTCCAGGAAGGCCAAAAGATGCCAAAATCACTGATTTTCCCAAGGTTTTTGATGGATTTGGGCATTTCCCTTTTTTCGGCCTTCCGACGGCCCGAGACGGCCCAAGAGCCCCCAAAGATCGCCGAAAGATCGCCCAAGAGGCCTCCAAGACGGCGACGATGACCATCAAGACGCCCACGTGTTCCCCGAAGGCTTTCCAAACCGATTCGGGGAACACATGGTCCGATGGCTTGGCAGGTCTGGCCTCAACGTTCGGCCACATAGGCGCTTCCACAAAGGCAGGGGGCGGCGGTGATTCGCCGTAGGCGTCTTCGATAACTTTTGTGATTCAAAATCTAGTTCAACCACATACGTGTTCACTTGTGTGTGTTGCGCCCATCTCCTCTTATTCACTGATGTATTCAAGTGTGTAGAAATACTTTGCCGTTCTGTCATGTTTCGGGGGTTGTTTTGCGTTTCCCCGCTCGTACATCGGTACATGCTTATTCGTAGTGATGGGTTGTCTTTCTTTCTCGAGGCGAAACATCAAACACAAAACATGTGTGTAATGACTGTGGGCGGAAGATCATAGATCTACCATGCGTGTGCATACGCGGTAAATGAATAAGCACCCGATTGCGGGCCGCGCCGCGGCCTCGGGTCGGCCCTCCGGGGGGGATCTCGTTGACGCAGTAGAGACCCCCACTGCGTGCTGGATCTGTTACGGGGCGCCCATCCCGTAGAACCCCTTTCTGGATTCTGTAGCAGTTCGGAGCAGGCCAGGAGCTGTAACGGCAAACCAGCGCGACGGTCCGCACATGGGCATTCCTGTAGGCCGGAGCTTTATAAGGCGCTCCCACATGTAGGTCGGCTGGCCCACCCACCTGTCAGGCTGCGACCCGCGGGCCGGTTGAATTCCCTGCATGTCTTTGGCCCCCCCGCCACTGCCTACGCGGTAGCACGAGCACCGAGAATCCCGAAGCTGGGAACACCCCGGGCACCTCGTCAGCATATGGACCTGGTTAGCAGACAGTCCCTCGTGCGAGGTACTTCTCCAGCCCAGAGCCACGCCCGCCAGAGCCTCGTTAGCCGCGTCAACCACGTGCCGTTGGCGCCCTTCCACCCCGGAGGGTAGCCCGCGAAACATCCGGCGAGCCGGAGGGGGCGGGAGAGGCTGCCACAGCGCCGTGGGATCGTTCCCGCTCCCCGCCAGACTTTCGTCGGTAGGTGAGGTTGGACTTTCGGCAGCAGTGTGGCAAGGACATGGGTACAAGCCACCTCCGAGCCTCCCCCTGCCGGGCCGCGGCCGTAGCCGTAGCCGGGGAGAATGCGGTAAATGAATGCTCGCTTCACTTCGCCTAAGTCCTGGTCCTTCGGCCCTGTACGGTGCTGGGCACCATCGCAACAACGATGGGTGTGAGGAACTGTCGGACTTTCAACTCGAACTGTTACAACGTGCTTCCCTGGCAAAACCAATCAACACTCGAAAACGTTCCGTGTGAACGACGTCTGCAGCGTCTCGGCATGAGCGGTCACTGCTCGTTTGGGGATATCCTTTCAGCCGTCACCGAGACCTTGCCAGTCTGCCGACATGGGAGTCGGTGAGGGTTCTTCGGGATTTCGGGCGCCGTCTAAAACAAATACTGAGGTTTGGGACACTCTTCAAACACGGCGCTTTATAATCGGATCCTATCTGCGTTTTGAATAACCCTCAAGAGTCTTCAAACAAAGCCCCGCAACAGTGGGTCACTGAATATTTTTCTGGCGACCTTATTGACGGACTGGGGCCCCGACAACAATGGGAGCTAATTGTTGTTTCCTGCCGCCGCCGCCGCCGACAACACCGACGACGACGACGAGGAGAAAGAAGAGGAGGAGGGGGAGAAGGAGGAAGAGGCGAAGGAGGATGCTCTGAAACTCTCAAAAGCTGATTTCTCTGAAACTCATTGCTCTGAAACTCTCACTGCTCTGAAACTCACTGCTCTGAAACT